TTCACTCGGCGCGGCTTTTATCAGGAATACATAGCGGCCGCCCTTCTCGCGCTGGGCTGCTGCGTAGTTCATGATGTGCGTCATACCAGTGATCGCCTGTTTCTCGTGGTACTGCGAACGGCTATACGGTGGGTTGCCATAGCCAGCGCCACCCAGTTCTGCCAGACGTTCAGACCAGTCCTGCGTCAGCGCGTTATCTTCGGCGGTGTACCACACGGGGCACTTAGCGTTATCGTCGTCAGCAAAGAGATCCAGAACTAATGGACCAAATAGTGCGTTGATCCCCCAAAAAAGCAGATCCGGTGTCCGCCACTGATCGCCAACTTCTTTCAATTCGTGAGCTGGTTTGCTACGCAGTGCCGCCAGCGCCTGGCAATATTTATTGGTCATCATGAACGGAACCCCGAATTTTCTGGCAGTGAGTAATCAACACTCTGGAAGTTTGCGCGGCTGGCTGAGTTAGTCTCCCATTTGCCGTTAACGCGTTCAGGCCGGCCGGCACTGGACCATTTGGTCGCGCTTTGCAGGTAACCAGGGAAGTTTTTTGGAATAAACAGAGTTGCCGGGCGGAGGTATTGAGCCTGCTCGCTATCACGCCAATCAGCGTTTTTGTAATCCACCACAAGGCACAGATCATCAACCGTGAATTGTTCCCGAAGACGGGCGCGAATATTCTCCAGCGACGTGCTGCATACCTGGTAGCGTGAGCCAGTAGTCTGGTTCAGGTAAGACAAAACCTGTCTGGCCTGATCAGTAATCACAACCTCAGGGTCTGGTTGCGCCGCAACCGGACAAAAGGGTTTTGAAGTTACTTGTGGATCTTGTTTTGATTTTACTGACGGATCCCCACCAGATTCTGACGGGTCAAAACCGCTGTTTTTGCCAGATTTCGACGGGTCAGTTTTTGAGGTGTCAAATTTTGATGCGTCAGATTTTGATGTGTCAGAATCTGACAGTTGAGAAAATGCGGCAGCCTGAAGTTTCGCCACATTCAGGCGGTACACGTTCGAAGCATTACGGTTACCATTACGGCGCTGTGTACGCGTTAGTCAGCCATCTTTTTCAAGCTTAGCGATTGCTGTTCTAATGGTGCTCGGACCCGCGCCAAGCTGGCGAGCAATAGTTTCAATGGACGGCCAGCACACGCCCTCATCGCTGCTGAAATCAGCGAGGCGAGCCATGATCGCAACACTGGACAACTTCATGCCCGACGCTGCGCAACCATCCCATACGTAGCCGGTTAATTTAGTGCTCATGATCGTCCGTTATCTCCCTGAACTTTTGCCTGAAATGCTCAAGTGGGCTGAAGCATTCGTGCGGGTAGCCATCACGCAGATAGATAACGCGCTGTGTTTCTGGCTCCCAGCGGATAACACGGACTGGCACTCCGCGGTGGTCTTTGAACCTTCGGTTAAGTTCGCGCACAGGCGTTTTGCCCTCCGGTTGTAGACCCCCACAATTGAAACCGCCCTACTGTGGTTACACGGAACCCAGCGGTTTGATAATCTGCGTTCATACCGAAACAACGGAGTACCCGAAACCGGGATCATCCTTAGTTGCGGTGGACGGTTAAAAAGCCGTTAAACTGCTCATGCGGATTATTTCTCCATACTCGAAGAGTTGTTCGCCAAGGCGCCCGGAGCTGCACACTCGCGGGCGTCACTCTTTTCAGGAAGACAATAAACTCGTGAAATCAGGTTCAAGAACGTCATAAGCGTTACCCGGAACTGGTAGGCGATTTCATTCAGACTGTCCCACTCCCCTTTATCAACTACACCATCATCGATGTATCGACGGTATGCGTTGACCAGATCCCCAAGCCTGCCCACCAGCTCAGCCAGCTTTAAGCCAATTTCTTCGTTCTCTGTTTCTGGTGCTGCACCAGGGATATGAATCCCGTTATCTGTTTGACGAGAAAACGCATCTGCTATGTAGCTAACGCCGGCGGCTTTCTGTAGCACCATCGCCCATCCCATAGGGAAGATCTGATCCCCGTCCACACGAAGGCGGTTAAACAATGCGTTCTCTGTCACGCCCAACCATTCCGCAGCCTCAGAATATCCACCAGGCAGATCGGTAATCGTTTTTTTAATCGCTACCACCAGCCAACTAGGCTGACGTTCGACTTTCCAGATTGGTTCGTTACCCACGGTTAACCCCTTATTCCTGTGGTTTTATGTCTGTACTCGCGCCTGT